CTATCCAGAATTATTCAACTTACAACCGAGTGCATTGTTCATTGAAACGGAGACTAGAAATTAAGTATACTATGTCCATGATAGAATATTTTCTGTCAAAAGTTATTTCGACATTCGATGAACCTGGAAAATATTTTGTGTAAGAAAATATGAATATTTCAAATATTTACATGTCAAACTATTCACGAATTGCAAATAAATTCAGATGCTTCAAAGAAAAGAAACTGCTTGAAATACTTTAGATTGTGGGTGGTTTCTAATATGTTTAGTAAACTCAGATCTGAACGGCGAATAGGGTACTTAATTCGTTTTGAAATTTAACTCGGAGAATACGTGCAAAACACGAACCGAAAAGGTAAAAATATCGGCACATAAATTTTGATTCGAAACAAAGAATGGCTTACCTGTTTGGGCAGCTGATTGGTTTGATTCGTTTAATCGTCTTAGCTGAAATTACGAATCATATTCAATCGATGCATGTTTCTGTGAAAAAACCTCACCCCTGCAATTAATACATTGGTACTCGTGTGACATTGCTTACTCTTGTTTCGCAGCATTGAACCTATGATTTAAACAACAGCTTAACTAAATCAACTCAAACACATTTCTTTTCAGTTATTTTTTTACAATTTTTCCTAGACACAATCAGTTATTCCTTGCTCGGTTCCTAATTCATCATTCACCAATGAAAAAGAAAATATATTGTTCATGGTTCATAGTCATATTTTTCAGTTCACTCATCTGTTCATGACTAGCATACTTTCCAAAAATATCTTACCAACGAGAGAGGCAATATACATACGACTGAAAAGAAAATAAAGCAATATCGTTATTTAACCCGAATAATCCGAAAAAGTAATTCATTGTGACGGATCAATGCAACTTATTTGAGAAGTACATATAATTGTACTAATGATTCTTTATTCACATCAAACTTTGGTCCTATTCCATATTTTCGAAAATTTTTTGTACTTGGATTCTATAAAATTGCATCTCGATGTAGTTTCATTAGAGTTGTTTAAAAAAGTGTATTTAATGCTTCTGCTTATGTTACATGATACTGGTCATTCCTTCAGTTGTTCGAATTCTACTGGTCAACGATAAATTAGGCATTAGGAACAAATTATAAAACATACTAATTAGGAATATAGTTTAGGATAGATATAAAAAATGACCTGGATGATAGTATTGTTCGGTGAGAAGATGTTTCAGTTCTCTAAATGTTGGTCGATTACTTGGTGATGTAGACCAAGTTTTTGTGATGATCGACCAAAAGGGTTGACTACAATTGGATGGTTTAGGTAGTAAATCACCATTTTTGACTGCTCGAATGACATCATTATCGTCTTCGATGTTTGCCCATGGGAATGAACCTCGAGAATATGCTTCCCACATTAACACACCCATTGAATAAACATCTGATTTTTCTGTATAAACCTCAGATGCGGTATTTGACAAAAGTACTTCTGGTGCCGCATATCGAACAGGAACTATGTTCAATGTTGTTCTTGCAGCACCTGATGTCATTGAATACAATTGACTATGTCGACTAAGACCGAAGTCAGTGATTTTAACAATATTCTTTTCTGGTTCATTTTCATCAAAGCGAAATATCAGGACATTACGACATGCTAAGTCATTATGAACGACGTGATTAGATGCTAGGCATATCATTGCCTCAATAATTTGTAAAAATATTTGAATGAGAATTTTTTCATCAGGAGCCGTTCTTCGGTTTTGTAACAATTCATACAAACTTTCTTCGGGTGCATATTCTTGTAAAAGCAGAATTGAATTATTTTGATCGGGATTATTTCTGTCATATACAAAACCAAATGTTCGAATGATATGTGGATGACGACTTAAATTTACGTAGAAAGATGCTTCTTTTTTTGCCCGAGCACCATCAATTTTTAATATGACTATTTCTGGTCGATTATTATTATCTT